CTGGCCCCCAGGACTTCCTCCACCCTGTCCAGGACTGCTGCCTCCCTGCTCTGCTGCTCCCAGCTCCATCAGTCCCTTCCCTCTTCCAAAAGCTCCCAGGAGCATTCAGCTCCTTGCAGTTTTCTCCTTTATCTGCCAGCTCCAAAGCCTCTCCCTGCTTTATCCTGTCATCTATTCTCCTTATGGAACTCATCAATCTTCCTCCCAGGCCACCCTGTATTTCCCATTACCCTTTAGTTCAACACTGTCTTTGACCTCATTTTCCATTTTCCCAAGTGTGGGCCAACACAAAGAGGCAGAAAAGATAAACTTAACTGGGCAGGGTACTTTTCTCCAAGCCAATGTGTGAGGAAGTAATTTAAAAACAGATTCACTATATCCAAAAAGGAGTGAAAAGTTGAGAATGATAATATTTTAATTTAATAAGAAACTGAAGCAAAGCAGATTGGGAAAGGGGAATTATTTGTTGTTGAATTGTTTTGAAAGCTGTATTTTATTTTATTTTGTTTGAATTGAAAAAACTGCAAATTGGTTTCAAAAATGCAAAAATGGGATTTGATAGTTTAGCATTTAAAAAATCTGCACAATAGTATTTAAGCTAAGATCTTAGTTGAAAACAATTGAGTTATTTCAGCTGGGAAAAAAACAAACCCAAAGAGAAGAAAAAATAATTCTTATCAGTTACAGAGGAAGGCACTTTATTTTTGAAGCCTACAGCAGCTGTGAGTATATTTGTAGTAAAAAACCCAATTCCTAATGAGCTGCAAAAATCTCACTGCTACAAGAAAGTCTGGGAAATTTAAAAGCTAAAGAGTCCAATAAAGACAATTTAAAATTTAATCTATTCTAGTGATGTACCCTTCCACAAAATTTGAATTCCCAGCTTCAAAATGGAAATTTTATTCATTAAAAAAAAAAAAAAAAGTGTTTTTTTAAACAATTTTTCCCCATACAGAAATCTGAGGTAGATGACTGGCAAAGACAGAGGTAGCCTAACTGGAGAAATTTAAAGCCAGCTATGGTGTTCTTACACCATACAGTTGAAATTACTCCCAAACCTAGAAGGCAAAATTATGAATGTAAACTCCAAAGGTCAAGCAGTGCATCTCAGTTCAGACAACAGTTATCTGCTTCCACAACCGATAGTAAGATAATTGTACTGAGCTAAGAAGGACAATGTGTGAGAGTTTCATGCTTTTTCATCAAAATACCTGAATATTTCATATATGTGAATAACTGCCCATGAGGAATCTTTAATTAAGGAGAGAAATAGGGACAGAAAAGCCATCTGGCTATTTTTCAAGCTGTGTTTTTACTTGTTATGAAATGAAACCATGAACTTTTGCATATTATGATGTCACTGCTTTGCAAGAACAAGGAATTAATCACTTCCATTAAAGCACATCTTCCCTAGCACTTATGATTAATTTACAAGGCCACAATTCTTTCACACTCCAGCCCAAAGGTCCCTGCTGTCTGACTCTGAACACATTTACAGAGGTCTTCCAGTGCTAAGTTTTAAGGAAAAAGTATTAGTTACCATCATAATATGTAATTTGCTATCCATGCTTTGCAGTGGCATGCAACACTTCATCTCAAAGGTCTAGCAGACCTAGCAGAAACACCAGGGAAACAGAAAATGTGTTCAAAAACTGTTTGGGTCACCAAGGTGGAGAGGCTCTCTCCACCTTTTACATCTCTGATGGCAAAGCTCATTCTCAGGGTCCAGCTGAGATGATCACTGCCCTCCCATCAGCTGCTGGTCAAGGCAAATGTATGTGCACCTTTCCCAGAGTCAAGGTGTGCCTCTGGATTTCCCCTTTTCCGACTGTTTACAATTCCCATCCTGACAATTATGCAATATTTACTGAGTCCTCCTCATCTTGCACTGTGGGGATGCTCCAGCATTATTCATTCAGCCTTAACAAAACACTTAAAATCCTGTGACTTCCTGGCTCCCCACATTTTGAAGGGGATAAACCTTTTGCAAAAATAGAAGGTTTTTGTTAAAAGAAGAACACAGGATATGACAAAATTCCCTTTCACCTTGAATAAATACATCATGTTTTCCTAGTCAAGGCTTGGATATCTTTGAGGCCATCTTTTACCACTGTTACAGGTCTCCAGCCTTCAAATGGGAGAAACAAAAACATCTACAATGCGTTCAATGAAAAATACTTTATCTTCGAAAGAGCTTAACGAGCAACTGAAATGCAGGATCTTCATTTATATGTGTTTGCCTGCACATACTGTCTTGCATATTATGGATCAACTCTGCACTTTACAAATAGAAATGTCTAACTCCAGTAACATTTAAGTAGTTCTTCCTTGTCTATACCAGTGGCTGAGCTCATTTTTTCTGAAATTCAATGCTCAGATTAAAATGTAAATTTTTGCTAGGTCTAAAACATCCTCAGCTAACTCAAGAATCCAATCTGTAATAGTCATTGCTGATGCTATGGAAGACCATTTGTTTAAGGCTAAACAGAAGTAAATTCCAGTTGATATGCCTTTTGTACAATCAGAAACTTTAACAAAGGGCTTCATATTCAATTCAACTTCGACCTGGAAGTTATTTCTATAAAAATTCAACAACTCAGCTTCTGCATTTAGGAGATCTAGGATGAGCCCAAGAACAATGACCAACTTTTGCTACTATGTGAGCTAGGAAAGGCATAAAATAGCCAATTGTACATTTAATGAGATACAAAACTCCAACTGAGTTGATGTATTATGGGTGAAATTGAATATAATAAAAAATACTGCTTCAAAAATGAGTGCTCTATGAGTGCTCCAGGGATGCAGATGTTGCACAACAACTAAAGTGTGACACAGCCTTCATCTAAAGGCAAAATTATGCTAGTTCAGAAAAAGCTGTGTTGAACTGAGTTCATACTTAAAACTCATGGCCCTCAGGCCTGCAGCTTTCTGAAGCGTCTAAAAACTATTTTAATTTTTAATTTGTTTTTATTGCTTATGTACAGTTATCCTCCACTCTCAGAAGAACTGAAAGATGAGGAGAGAGGCTGTTTTTATTTTCCCCAGGGCTGCAAGCAGCTAACCAGCCATGTTGTCAGGCAGTCAGCCCTTGCATGACTTCCATGCAAAAGAAACCCAAGTATGATGAAGGCAAGCACTCAGGCTTGTCAGTGAAATCCTAAAATATTTCCCAAGATCTCTCAACCTTAGCAAAGCAACTGGCTTTCAATTTCCAGCAACCCACCTCACCAACAGCCAAGCTATGAGAATTTGGATGTGAAATAATAGTTACTTGAAGTAGCCAAAGAAGCATAATAATAAAAGCGAAAAACACAGGATGAGAGCAGTCAAAACCATGTTTAAATACAAAGGAATTTTGTCCAAGAAAAGCTCCAAGCCACACCCTGAAGATGGCTGGGAAAAAGCAAAGATCCCTCAGCTTCCCAGCCTTGTAAAGTTTGGAATTGTGGCTTGGATTGCCTACATGAATGCTGCATCATCAGTGGGATGCTGTTCACCTCATGATATGAAGAGAGGAGCAACCTTTGCAGCACAATCAGGATGTGGGCTTGCAACAGGGTTTGTGTCTGTACAGAAAGATGGAATTGCTTGGCAGCAGTGGTGCAGTAGCACCTGCTGCCTTCCCAGTTCCCCACGTGCCAAACATGTCTGGCACAAAAATAAAAGGCATGAGAAATACAGCACTGCTGTCCTGGCAGTGGTGTAGAGCTGGTGCCATAGCAGGGAAATCTGAGGAAAGAAGTGAAACAGGCAACATATTCAAAAACATAATGCCAGTTTGTAATTAAGACACAACCATCTCGTAGGAGAGCACGACAGCATTTTGTTCATCCCACCCAAGAGTTTATTTAGCTGTTCTAGCTAACAGGTCTTAATTCTACTCTCTTTCCAGGACAAGTGTGAAGTTTTCAATTTGCAGATTAGTAGCAGTTTGCTGAATGTGTGACTTTGGCAGCTTGCTCACCTCATACAGCTACAAAGGGAGGCTTTGCAGTTCTGACAGCTCTATGAACCACTTTTAAACCAAAGCCTGCATTCTCTGGAGAACAAAATTAGACATAGGAAGATTGATATGAAGTGGACTGTGTTAACTAGACACTCTCTCTTACTGCTCTATAATAGGCTATAATTACAGTAACTCATTGGTCATTTACTGCCATGCAGTTATAGAAGCATTTTAAAATAACAAGAAAAGAGAAAATTTGAGCTGAGGGGACTCTTTCCCTAGAATTATTCCCCTTTTTCAACTTGTTGAATTTCCAATGCCTACATAAGTACAACATTCCTTTTATTTTCTACAGCTTTACTGGTTGAACTGCTGAAGCAGATAATTTAAATATTTAGAACATCCAAGACAAAGGGTGAAATTTATCACACCCCATCTTGTCAAGGAGACCTGCAGTCAGATTTCACAAATGTAGTGAACTGGAGTAGCAGCAGCAATTTTCCCATGTGAGTGGGTTAGTGCAGACTACATGCACTGTTCCTGCAGGCATCTGCCAACACAGTCTGGGCACAAAGGCATGGACTACTGCTACTGAAACAAAGTTTTAGGCTTCAAAGTCTGGATCCTAGGTCAGGAAGAATTGGAAAAAAAAAGAATGACCTCTCTCTGTCACAAGAAAATAAACTTAAAATCTCTCCTGAGATTCTTATTCCTAGAATGAATCACTACTATATGTTTATGTACTCTTGACAGGAAATCCAGAGCAACTAAGTCAATAAGTCTCTTCCTGATAAAGGGGCTAATTTACTCTCATTCAGTAATGCAAACTTCTACATTCTTCCTACTACTAAATGAATATACTAAGCTCCTGCTAAATGTTTTGAATTTAGTACAGATTTTACAGAGCAGGCATGCAGCAGGACAGCTTGATTACATCTTGACATTCCCATCAGAAAGAAAGCACACACTGTTGGATTTCTCCACATCCATTTAAAGACAGAGTAAGGCTTTTCCTCTGCAGGTGATAAGGCACATCAATAACAACTGGTCTTACCTGCTGTCTGTAAGCTCAAACCAGTATCAAGTTTGCTGCGTGGCTTGGTGCTGATAAACAAATAACAGAGAACACACACAGTGATGATAAAAGCAAAGAGGACCACTGCTGCTATTGACAGGCCCACGAGTGCTCCAACACTAAGAGACAAAAACAAAAAAAAAATTAAGTGTACAAGCAGCCTAGAGGACCCATTAAAAAAATGTTCAAGAAGATGTCTGGAGTTTACTTGTACTCAGGCATGGGAGTAACTCTGTATTTTACTGTAAACCAAAGTTTAGAGCTCAATAATTCAATTGCATAAACTGCAGTTATTTCACTGCCCTCAGAAGGGTCAATGTCATCACACAGCAGTTGAACATCTGGCCCTCAGTGACCATTTCATGCATATTACTCCTGAGTCTGACTTAAAGTGTATTTATGAAAATGAGAAATAACTTCATGCAGTAGCTGATATCAGTGAGATCAAAAAGTTCTTCAGTGCACACACAGAGAGGGATTCTAGGGTTCCAGGCAGCTCAAACAACATTACTATTAAAGCTGTATTTTCAGTCTGAAATGCCATTAGTATATTATAAAAACCCATGCAAATTATGTTATTCAATTCTGATAGCAGCTCTGCAGAGTAGGGTGGAGTACTGTGATCACTGTTGTGCCTTTGCATTAATGAAATAAATCTCCAGTCAAGACTGGAGAAATACTCCCATGATCTTTGTCACAGTAAAAGGAAAACTAAAGTTGAATTAGTTTACTCAAAATATCAAAGGCATCAAAAAAGCAGGAATTAATTACTCTGGAAGCCAAACATACAGTACTATATCAAGGTGCTATCCTGCAGAGTAGAAGCTACTTTATACATCTCCCATAGGCATACAATGAGACAGTATATGTATATAAAGAAATCTCTCCAACCCTTATTTTCAAGTCTTTTCCTAACATAAAATTCTCATGATGAAATATAATACCCAATATAATACAGTCTAGATATCATTTCCTACACTTTCCTGGGCCATTTGATGCCTTCTGTGCTCCAGTCCTCTATTCTACAGTCCATGACAAAGATCCTGACTTCTGGTGAAATTAAACAGCAGCCTTTCAGTCACAGATGAGGAGTCTGAGGACTGAGAATCCTTATATTACTGCTCTGCTATATTTACAATTTTGACAGACATCAAAAGGACAGAAGAGAGATTAATGTCTTGAATTCTACAGGCTCCTTCCTCTAGTCATAGAAATGCCTTTATATATCACTGCTATCAGGGAGAAGTCAACTCTACTGTGACCTTGCAGGAAGATGAGAAGAATTGTGCCTTGGGATGTTTTTATGAATTTTATATTCAAGATACTGCAAAGATTCTCTACCAGCTCCCACAGCACCAGCTCACAGATATGTCCACAGGAGAAATTTTTAAAATCAGCAGGATGAGAGCAGTAGATATTGCTATGACTTTCACATGAGGTTTTAATTAGTTACTGGTCAGATTCAGTAATGAAGTTTCGGCAACATTTAGCTCCATGCATGTCTAAAATAATTTATTATCAGCAAAATGGTTCTGCAGAGAACAACTTTACTCTTTTGAAAATTTTCATGGTATTTATAATCTGCATTAAATAGGATATCCTTATGTTTGTGCATATAAGTACATATTAAGCAAATTTTTCCTTACTGTTTTTTGTCTTAAACAAAATTTGCAGGCAAGCAATAGTCTGCTTACTATGCAATCTGAATATGACCTACACTCAGAGATCTCACCTGGGTTCTGGTCTTATTTTGCATTTTCACTTGGAACACTTTGACCCAAATAGAAAATAATAGAAGAAATACACATTACAGAAGGCTGAATAGAGACAGAACCATGTGAAACAGCCAAGGCTCTTCAGAAATAGTTATTTGTGTGTGTGCTTTTTTGTCATAACAGTACATTTATTGTACAAGCTTTATTGTAAGATTCCATTTAAATTTCAGTCCGCAGTGCAGGACTAAGGAGGTTGCTCACCATGATCCAAACATTAAGCAGAGCCAGCTGCCCAAAAGCCAAATAGATCAAATACATATTAATGATTATACATTTTTCTATTCAGACATCTGTTACTTCTTAGTTGTAGCTCTCCTCCATGCAGTTGTAGAAGATGACATGAACAATACTGTTGTGTACTGCAGAGCACAATGCATCCTCAGTATCACTACACAACCTGTGTAAGAAGCTTTGGGAGTTACAAAAGGAAAAGGCAAGAAAAACCTGAAGAACTCTCCAGGTCAAAGACTCATCATAGGTTGTGTGCTACAAGAAATGTTTATCTGCTCCAGCAGCAACATGAGAAGAGCTCACCAGCATCACAAAATCAAATAGATACTCTGATTCCACTTCCTGAATGAATCAGGAATCAGGACAATTTGTACTTACTCTTTTTATACACAATGCTTTCATACCAGATTGTTCTCAAACTGCTGAAGCCATCAACCCACAGAGAAGGTATAATTAAGTTCTATAAGATAAATTTTGGTTAAAGTTTGAGGATGGAGGGTTGTTTCTTAATTTATCTAATTCAGAGAAATTTAATATGTCTTTCACAGCTCTGAATACTGATGTTTCTTAACCAGAACACAATACCTTCTTTCATTCTTTACTAGTTAAAGCTGTTCTCAAAAACAAAATACCAAATAACTATGATCACTGAGCACTTTAAAAATTACACTCCTCTGAAAATAAAAACAGTCTTACAGAATGTCCTCTAGATTCTACAGCAATTACCATGGTGCTGCATATCTGCTTTAAAAAGCCCTTGCTAAAAGCATTTTGGCACCTTCCATTCTTTAAAGACTGTCTGAAGGCCACCCAGCAATCAAGTGGTCTATAGTCTATAGGTCTCAGGGTATGTCTTGGAGATCAGTCTTCTGACAGCAGAGACGCTAAACAAGCAAACTAAAAAGTCCCTCTTGCACAGAGCTGTGGTCTCATTAGGGAGCAAAACCTTCTGTATTAACAACCCACTCAACCCCAGAGCAAAGATCTGGCATAAAGATGGCAGTAAAGGCCATGGGGTAACCCTGACATGAGCAATATTACGTTTGGTAGGAGATTCAAACAGACCTCTCCCAAGTTGTTTTCCACAGAAAGATAGAGCCATACCAAACATTTCACTGAGTGCCACACCCAGGCCTGCAGCACAGCCAAAGGCTTCACTCAGCAGAGAGGCTCCACTCTGCCAGCAGCCTCCCCAGGGATCCCCAGGCTGCATCCAGAGAGCTGCTGAGTGGGTCCATCGACTTGTCTGTCAGTGGATGCTCAGCATCACACACTTACAGTTATTTTTAGTTCATAAAATCAGTCCATCCACGCCATCAAAACCAGGGAAATTTTAAATATTGGCTAAGCAGAGGCAGTATTGCCCACTGATAGAGTAAAAGGAAGCTAATGAGTCACCCAGATCCGAGTAAATCAAATGTTCTCAATGCCATTGTTGCAGTGACGTGTCATTCATAGTATTTGCAAAGCACACAGATAAATATTCTCAAGAGACTGAAAGAATGGGCATAGGGAAACAAAAGACTTGCTATTTTGGAAAGCCAAATCAGATGCCTGGAGGTTGGTACAGCCAAGCAAAGCTTGGCCTCAGTATTAGGCCACCATGGCTCTATGGGTATTAGTTAAGAAGGCATTTTGAGTAAAACTTATATATGGCTTGACAGAATTTTAATCAAATATGCATTATTATATGCAACTTAAAAGATACAGCTTTGGAATGGATATTAGAATTCTATTTGATACTGCAATAAGCCATTATAATAATAAGACTACATAGAAGAGTGACCAAAATAAGCATAAAATATTTTAGAACAAAGAGAAACAAAAAGGCTGACTGAACATAACTGCTGCAGTTCAGTACAAATACCACATGTTCAGCATTTCTCCCCTTCCACTCAGCTTGGGAGGTAAAGCAGATGTGATAACTGCATGTGCATGCACAGCACACTGCTCTGGATGCCGAGCTGCTCAGTGTTTGTCTCATTGGTGTTTTATAGCATCTGTGTTTTGTGGATTCAAAAGCTGAATAACCTTCTGATGAATTCTGCCTTTTCCTAATGTTGCCTTCCTGTTCCATGGGCTCCTGACATCTGTAAGAGACAGCAAAATGCATCCTTCCCTCTTTTCTGAGGAAATAAGTCTTTCAAGTTCTATGATCAAAAAAAACAACAAAACACCTGTATTATTTTATTTTAAATACCAACAAAAAAGTATAAGTCAGAAATTAAAAATATTATTAATTACATACAGAAAATATTATTAATTATATATAATAAATTCTACATAAAATGTGAAATGTGTCAGATTTGCTCAATAGTCTATTATCTATCATTGTCCAGCAGCTCCCAGTACAGCAGGTGTTAGGATGTTGTCAAATATTGCAGATTTTGCAGAAGTGGGAGGTAAAAGAGGGTTCCATGTTGCTAAGGGATAGGGCAGTGTCTAGTTCTAAACACAGTACAGGCAGTAGAGATTAGGCAAGAAAAAAGAAGAGCCTAGGCCTGCAAGAAGCTTGCTTTGGGTTGCCAAGGCTGCTGGCTTCTCTATGAACTGCTTCCATCAGAGCTGGATGCCAACGGGTCTGGCCATGTCCCTCCCACAGCAGGAAAATGAAGTGAAATGTGCAAGAGTTTTCTGAAATTCTACCTGGCGGGCCACCAAACTGAAGTAATCCCTGAGATACCACCAACCACTTGTGGTGCAGTCACTGCTTTCAAATATGTGGGGGGAGTCAAGCAAATGAAGATTTAGGAAAAGAACCCCCAAGTTCTGGAGTACAGCAAAACCTATAACAGTTCCCCCATCAAAGCCTCCTAGTCCTTTCCCTTCCATCTCCAGACTTACCTTGACTGGTTTGCCTAACTCTTGTTTAGTTTTAAATCTTAAGGGTTTCAAGTCTTAAAAGTGTGTTCTCAAAGGCTGTGCAAGAAGCATTTTGAGGATTATTTTATCATATGGCTGCTACCAACCAATATCAGTAAGAGTCTAGTGATCGCCAAAACATTTTGAGAGGCCAGAAAATGTTCTTTTTATGTTTTCTTTAAACTACTAATTGAACTGTCACGTAAAAATGTATATAGTTTTCAAAATGATGTAATACTATAATGTTTCTAGTGTGTTAATAACTAAAAATTATTGTATTTGTTACTGAAAACATTTATAGGAAGTGGTTCAATTCTTACCACTCAGTAACTTTGTTTAGAGAGGTAAATTTTATTTATTAATCTATTTTCTACAATGAATATAGTAATTTATGGCAGAAGTTAAGCACAATCAAAACTCCAATAATGGCAATTTCCATTAGTCCTTTTAGCAGCTTAGGGCTACTGTAGAAAGAAGGAAAAAAAATCTTTAATTTTCAAAGTTTGGACCCAAATTTCTGACTTAGATGACGGCTAAGCAGTCACTTCTCAGACCCTACAAACTCTTTTTAAAGGAAGAGCTTTCAGAGAGGTATTTTTTCATGAAAGCCTCTCCTGGGATTCAGTTCTTGGAGGTAGTTTTTGAAAAGATCAAGCTTTAAGAGTTTTAATTACAACATCCAGATGAGATGTTGCGATGCAATATCAACTTATTCCTTCTATTTTTCTGCCATGTTGAGAAGGTTTACTGTGATTGAAACAGCCAAAGGCTATGCAAAAATATAGCACTAAAACAACATGGGTATTTGATAGCAGAAGTGTAAAAAAGGACACTTAGAGATCTCACATCGGGGAAGCCAAGTAATTGTGTGTCTGTCACAGAGGTGGATGGCTGGGAGATCCCCACAATCAACCCACTCTTTGCACCAGACAAAGTAGATTTTAAATAATAATACATTAAATATTAGATCAGATAAATTAAAACAGTAAGTCCACAGTAGTGGACAGCAGTAACTCAGGAGCCCTGAGGGAATGAATTCACACGTGGAACTGCAGAGCTGCTGGCCAAGGTGCTGAGGGTGTCTGGCTGCAGAGTGCTGAATCTGAGCCTGGCTGATGAGGACAAGCCTCTACCCCAAATCATCTCATTACCATGCTCCACCCCACAGGGAGCTGATGGCACTTGCAGCTTCCTGACATAAAATCTTTAATGAAAGGATCAGCATTAGGATAAGGGGAAAACATTGCCTCGTTAACGTGCTGGAGTCTATGAAGTGTCAATAGGCACATGGACAGAGGAAGCCAGCAGACAGAGTTACATGTCTCAAAAAGCCTTTGGACAAGCCCTGCTCTGAAAGTGGGGTTAAAAAGACTGAATTTATATAGGATTAGGAAAAGGTTTTGCTACAAATGTAAGGCTGCTTAAAAACATAAGGAGCAAAGTGCAAGGCTTAAGTGGTCTCTTTTCAATGTTAAGAAATGTCACTGAGACTAATTTTTATTAATGTCTTCATCTATGACCTGGTGAAGAAGGAAATCTGAGTTTCTGATGATCCTAAGCCCCTACAAGCAATCCAATGCTGAGGGCAAGGAACACTACAAGACTTACAGAAAACTGAGTGAGCAGGCAAAAGTGATATACACGAGTTTCAGTGTACATAATGTAACGTATAAAGAACAAAACCAAGCCTACATAGCAATAAACTCAGAACAGGCAGTTCTGAACTCCAGAAAAGTTTTAGAGTCTTCAGTGAGAGCTCACTGAAATCGTGGTGTCAATGTGAACTGGCAGACAAACACATCAACACATTGGCTACCAACAGAATGGAACTGAGAGCAAGACTGGAGGCAACATTTCGCCACTCTGTGAGTCTTGCCACACCCGCGCCTTGGCCATTTAGCTCTAGATTATGCACCTCCAAGATCAGCCCTGTGGAGTAAAAAATAGTATGGATGAAATGCAGCTAAAATGATCAGCGTGACATAGCATCTGCCTAAGGATAATCCAAAAGCTGTTCAGTTTGGAAAGGTGAAAAGCTAAAAATAGATGCTCCAAATGCTCACAATATTTTAAACACTGTGCATAAACTGAACCTGCAATTGCTGTTCACCAAATCTCACAATGCCAATACTAGAGGGCACTCAGGAAAAGTAGTAGGGAACAGTATAAAACAGATAAAAGCATCTCTATTCAAACAGCAGGTAATGACTGCTGCCACCAGGATTGCAGAAGCAGACGGTATAAGCAAGCCCAGAAGGGGATTTGACAAAATCAAGGATAATAACAAGTCCGCAAGAAACAGAGTGGAAGCCCCATGCAGAGGTACTAACATCCTGGCACGGCCAGCCTGGATGCTGTGGAGCCCAATCAGGCACAGCAAGCAGCCGGGCTGGCTGAGTGCAGCTCTCCCTGCCGCTGCTGGAGATCCAGCCAGAGCCAGCCGGATCCCTGCACTAGCCTGGGAGAGCACCAGGCTCGTTATCTGCCCCGTCCAAGTGGAAAGTTACGTAGTGCATTATCTTACATGGAAAAGTAGCTCAAGTCACTGGGGACTTTATGGCACGCAGCATCTTACGCGCTCAGGCTCCGGGACAGCCGCTCCCCTCACGCCCGAAGGGCGGGAGATGCTCCGGGTGCTCTGCCAGACGCGTTTCCCCAGCACTTCCTTACCAAGACCACGAGTTATTTCCTTCAGAAACTACCCTGGCACGAGCAAAAGTCTCTCTGGGCTGAAGATGCAACTCTGCCGCCACTCTCGGCGGGACAAAGGCAGCCTGAAAGTGCCCGGCTACAAGTACCTCATAAACGCACACCCGAGACGAACTCGGGCGACCACGGGTCTCCCGCCCGGAGCCTCTACCCTGGCAGGCACCGCCGCTCCCCTACCTGAGCCACCACATGTAGCTGTGCTCGTAGGGGAAGAAGCTGTGGGGGTCATCGCAGCAGTACTTGACGTCCTGGAAGCCGCAGCAGAACACGGCGCGGGCGTCGCCGCCCGCCCGCGGGCAGCTGAACCCGCTCACCAGCACCTTGTCGGCGTTGAGGTAACTGCTGCACTCGGCGCTCATGGCGCGGCCCGCCCGCTGCCCGCCCGGCGCCTCGGCTCTGTGGCACCCGGGCGGGAGGAGAGGGGAGGCGAGGTGAGGGGAGGCGAGAAGAAGGGAGGTGAGGGGAAGCGAGGCGAGGCGGCTGTGGCGGGCGGAGCCGGGCGGGCAGGGGGCTGCGCTGGCGGCAGGGACCGCCGCGCCCACTGGCCCCGGGGCCGCCACAGGGCGGGGAGCGGCGGGAGCCCCCGCGCCCTCAGGGCGGGCAGGAGGGCGCCCTGAGGGGCCGGCCCGCCCCGGGCTGCGATCTCAGCGGCTGGGGTACAGCTGTCCCTCAGCGCTGGGTCCGGTGTGCAGGAAAGCTTTCGGGGGTCCGTCCTTACTCATAACCTGGGTGTGGTCTCAGGCAAAACAGGGAGAGCATGGGGAGGGATCGCACTTCTGTGGGACTCAGGCCCCCTTGGCTAAATGAGGGGGGAAAGCTCCCGCTCAAAAGCAGGATCAACGCTTAAAGATGCAGTGCACAAAGTGAGAGGATGAATGACAGTGATGTGGCTGGTGCAAAGACTCAGGAAAAGGGGAGATCAGGAGAAATCAATGAATATTGAATATCAACAAAGAAAAAGGCTAGATGATGATGGGATTTTGTGAGTTGTAACTTCATCACTTGAGTTGTTCCGATGAAATCAGATAGAATCAGATCAATTAGTTTTATGATAAAATTGAGGATTGACTTATTTGAAATGTATGCAGGAAAATTATCTACCAAAGACCACAAGGCAGCCTTTGCACCTCAGTTATGTCAATAGTGTCTTGTGTTATTTTGAGATTAAGAGACCAATCTCCTGGTCATTTGAGTCACAAAGACATGGGGAATGTTTTTCCGTGATTGAGGTAAATCTCTGATGAGGGAAGGATGGCTGAATCTCAGCCCAAAAGCCACCAGTTGGTTGCCCAGATGATGTGTATGAATCAGTCAGCTAAACATCATGTGGTGTGGTTGAAACTAAGAAGTGCAGGGGTAAATGTCATGGTTTTGGAGACTGATTCAAGACTTTGTGAAGTTGCCAATCTAGTATTCACAAGAGTAGACCTAAGTAAGTCTTACGACTTTCTGGGATGGAGAAATGTCCAATTCCAGTCTTACTGTATTAATCTCTTGAAATGTCTTTATGTACCTTGTTCAGTTGCTAATAACTGTTTTCTTCCAAAATGTGAATTGCCATCCTTATGTTTCTTTCTGATTTTCTTTATCTGTCTGGGATAGTTTTGGGGTTTTTTTCTTTGTCTTATCCTTTCTTGATCTGTTTTCACTGAGGTTCTGATCATACCAGAATTCAACAACTAGGGCAGAGAGTCATGAACCCTGGAGTCATTCAGTTCATGTTTTCAAGTGAGCATTCCCAAATCAAGTGGCCAAGGGACTTAGGAATATAGAACATTCTTAGTTATTTTTGTATTTCACACTGCTGTTTTACTTTTGGAGATTTTTCTCCCAATAGTCAGAACTCAGATAACTATTTTCCTCTCAGAAATATTACTGAGGAACAAATAAAATTACCCATCACAGTTCCATGCTCAGTCTTACACAAAATTGGACTCATACTTAATGAGTATAAGATAGACCTGTGTCAGAGTTGGAGTAAAGGTGGATCCTTTGTCCAAACTTAAAGAAATTTCATTTCAAAGAAAGCTGAAATGTTTTGGGGTGGCAACATTTTTTTTCATTTGTTTGTTTCATCAGTATACTCATTTATATCATGAGTACAATTTGTACTTGCCATGACTACTGGGTGACAATAATTAGCATGCTTTCTTGTTGCAATTATTTGGAAAGGTTTATATGAAACATTTGAAATTATGTTTGACTTATCTACCTCAGTGACTGAATTAACTATGTAATTGCTGGAAGATTGAAATAAAAACCCATTCTCTTTTGATGAGACACTCAGAAACAGGATTTGAAATGGGAATGGGAGGCTCTTCACTGACCAGTGGAACATGTGTATCATCTTTTATGTCAGAAGAAAACATGTTTTTGTCATCCAGTTAGAAAACACAGACCTCTTCCAGTGTTAGTTGTTTAGACCTCATAAAATATGTTTCCTTCTCTCTTTACTCTTACCAAAATCAATTTAAGTTACTACACAGATGACAAGTTTTCTCTGTTGAGTGAGGAGTGTGTTTCAACCTAAGAATGTCATCCAGCTTTCAGAGAAACACAGATCCAAGACCTTTGTAGGACACTTGGAAATAAGAGACAACATACCCAGGTATTCAGGAGCAGCTTTCAGAATTGTATCCAAAACAAGATATTTCTATTCTCTTAGTGCTGAACTATCATCCTTGTGAATATGAGTCCCTTGTGCAGTGAAGCTCTAGCTTTAATTCTGGTAAAATGTGCAGACTTTCTTGGGTGTTTGCAACCCAGACTCTTCTGCAAATCTTTAACTGATTTACAGTTACTCACACTGGTTTCCAAGAGACTGCTATGGCTATACATAAAGCCTGTCTTCAAAATACTTGGGCCATGGAACTGCAGCTTTCTCTTTCTTATAATTGCTTTCAAGCCTTCCAGATGAATTTATAAATGGAAAAGTATGTACATTGTCTATGCAATAATTAGAACAGCATTTTTGTAATCAATAAAAACAATTGTGATCTTCATCTAAACTAAAATTATTGTGAAAAGTGAATAGCTTCTTATTTACTTATCCTGACTCCACAAGATAATGGCCAGCAGAACTGGGCTGGTTTAATTTTCCAGCAAATTACAGGAGTTTTTCTGGCTTATACAGTTTAGAGCAAAGGAGGCTTGAGAGAGAAGCTAAAACTTACTGATTTAGCTATTCCATTTAGAGACAACTCAAAGTGAATTATGCTTGTGCATTGACCACTACTTAAAAGCTAAAAATAAACATTCATCTTAATTCTTGTTAATAGAATGTGGGAAACATTTCTACCAGCCAACCTTCCACAGAAAGTTAATTATGCACTATGATATATGTGTCTAGATCAGCATCAATCCTCAAACCTACATGCAAGGTTTTCCTTAAGAGCATAACCTAGTTATTAATTGGCAAAGAGCTGCATAAATTACTTTCAAAACTAATCTGGTGGCAAATTATGCAATTAAACAAAATTGTCATGCCAAGATGGTGTAACAAGCTCTGATTAGGAGTAAAAAGTTAAACTGACATCACAGTTAGTGTAGATAACATATTTTATCATGTTACATGAGCAGCAGGCACTTCAGGAAGGCAGATGACAGCATAAGGCTCAAAACAGAAAGGGGCACAGAAGTTTTAAGTTGTGTGTACTTGCAGCATGGTGAGATGCTGTCATTTAGAGGACTAAAAAAGAACTGTGTGTATTAGTGAGGGACTGAAATCTATCAAGAGGATATGATACATCTTGGGTTCTGCTCTCAATTCAACCACCTGTAAGCGAGTTACTTTCCCAATTGTAATTCTGTAAATTTGTGATAGTGATGGAGTTGTCTGACACTTGTATGCAAAAGTGTTTGCATTTTGAGATCCTCTCTGTGCAAGTGAACACATATATAAAGTATTATTATGAGTTTTTCATGTCACTCTAGAGCCTACCAATCTTCCTAGTCATTTTAACTGTACTTCACACACATTATCTTCTAATTGATTCCCCCAGTCAATATAGGGTATAGATTTTAACTTTCAACTGTCTCTGCTTCACAGAGAAAAAAAATGAAGAAGGAGAAAGCAATTTTGAGCCTCAGGAAGTTGATGCTCAAAGAAGGTTTCAATCAAATTTTTAAGAGGGAAAATCAGTGAAACAGAGAAGTAGGAAGTATTGATACTGGTAATTCTGCAGTGAGGATGGAGCTCTGATAAGTAATTTGTGTTTGTGTAATGGCCTCATTCTCTACCGTGTTTGTGTGCTTTTATTGGTGAATATTTCAGAATAATGACTCAGTGAAGCAAATCTTACCTTTTTGCACTTACTCTCCTATCTAGAAGCAGAACAGTCAGATTAAATAGTTTTCAAAAATGAACCTAACCAAATAGTCTTGACTGAAGTTTGTCTTTGTGGACTGGTTTTCATTTCTTTTTCCTTTTCAGAAAGGAAAATAATTTTTACTTATCTGAGTAGAAAGCACAAAACTGGCATGCTCCTTACTTACCAAAAAAAAAAAGTCAATCTGACACTGCCTCAAGCATTTAACTTTGCTTTCATTTATCCTGCTTGTAAAAGATAATTATTTATAATTTTAGAGACACAAATACATGTTGCAATGCATTTTCTACTCTAATAGAAGGATGCAAATTTTAAAGGGATCTAACAAGTATGTAAAGGATGATTATGGAGACAGTTCTGAAACAAAGTTACTCAATTACAAGACAATTAGAAATTAGAAATGATGGGCCTGTTATTTCAGAGTATTTAAGCAAGGTCTCCATCAGAGGTAGCCCTTGTAAAACGTGTAAGTTTCTTGATCTTTTCAGCATTTATTCTACACTAAGCAACAAATCATAAAATTATAGATTCAAAGGCTTACATGAATTGCCACTTTCTATCACACTTTGAATTTACTTTGTCTAAAATTGAAGATTAAAGAGAAATACCTAAGTAAACAAGTTTGAAGTGCTGACTTCTACACATCAGTGAATAAATAATACAATAAAATATCTTCCCACCATTTCCATGGTAAACTCAAACTGAAGCTTTTAATTTTCTATATTTTGTTCAAACTCTTAGGCCAATAATTTAGATTTAGTCTTAGTAAGGATATTTTCAAATACCTAAAGTTGTTTTGTTATAAATTGATATACATTCTTTTGCATATTTTTGTGGGCCTTAGCTCAGAATCCTTTCTGTCACTTAGTCATCACAGAGAACTTTCATTCTAATTTATAATTCAAAGAGATACAGATACCAATAGTACCATAATTCATACCAATACCATAATTCTTCCTCTTTACCCTCCCACACAAATGTCTTTATATTTTGTGTAGGGGGTAACTGTATCTATTGTTAAAATTCTGCATCAGGAGAGAAACTTCCTACACGAGCCTATTTACATTTGCTTCTTATTTTAAAAAGCTTTATTGTTGGGACTGAAGTTTTCTGTCCTGTGTAAAAGAAGGTGTTAAGGCCAAAGAGTTGGGCTCTGATCCATTTTGAGTTAAGAAATTGGAACTGATGTGACAAATGTAAGAATTGAAGGCTGGGATTTGGCAGTTAAAGGGAACAGGGACAGGGTGAAGAAACAGGAGTAGGAAAGAGGTAAATTGAAAGGACAAGGCAAAGATGACCAGTCTTTGGAGTAACAGGAACTCTGTGCCCTACCTATGAAGCTTGGCACAGAACATCAGTTGTCTGCTTGTTTCCTTTTTTATCAACAGGCATGTTTAAATCCTCTGGAAAAATGTCTGCTTCATTTAATTCTCTTTCACACATATGATGACAAACAGTGACTTTCTTATTTCATTAATTTGCATGGCAAAACTCTGTATGGTGGTTTGAAATATTTCAGATTACTCATGTCATTGCCAACATGAAATTCTGCTCTTGTTTTCTCTATTTGCTTTCAAACAGAAGAAATTACATGTACAAAATTACATTAAAAGAATATTGTGTTACTCAGAATTTAGAAATGCCAGACTTAGAGCTAATAACCACACGACTTTTGGAGAAATTTCAGCTCATTTCACAATGAGTTTTTAATGAGTTTATTTTCTTGCTCTTCTCTAATGCATGGTCAAAAAGTTGGTTTTGAATGTTAACCATACCTAGTGGGAATACAGAATTACTTCAGCCATGGTTTTTGGTAATACTTATGATCATCTCACAGATAGTGATTCATTTTTCCAGTGCTCTGTGATGTGAGGGTGTTTTACTCCTGAAATTGTTACATTGCTCACAAGCCTTTCTTAGCAATTGTTTTCTTGACAGATATTCAATTTTATTTTCTAGCTTCCAAAGCTCAGTTTTATTCCTCATTTCTGATGCTGAAGGTGAGTTAGTTTTCCATCTCTGAAAACAAGACTTGGGGATGCTGTAAAGAGAACCATTTTCCATAGCACTCCTGTCTTTGGCTGAAATTAGAAAGCCTTATTCAGTTTCAAAACCCTTTTTACTTCTGCAGTGGATACAAGCAGCAGTTGTCCAACATAAGCAGATGATCCAAAGGAAAAGTAAAAAGTATATTCTTATTATGAACACCTAACATAGCTTATCATCTGGTAAGATGGCTCTGAACATTAAAAGGATATAGACTACTAATAATAAGGAGGTTTTTAATGGTTTTTATATCTTTGAGGTAGCTACAGGTCTTTCAACTTAACTACATTTACACAATAGTTATTAAAATGCGACTGTTATCTGTTAATCTTAGTATCATTCATTATCAGAGCACCTGATTACCACACAACCTGTAACTAATGGAATTGCTCTGAGTGACAGACTAGACCTTCTGAAGCTGGGCCAAGTGAGCCTTTGGTCAGGTCTTCACCACCTCAGTCCTGCTTTGGTGAAATGATCACCAACTACATCTCAGATGAGGGATTCATTTCATCTGTGTTAGTCTCAGTAATCAGATGTTCTCTTGGAAATTGGATGAAGCTATAAGATATATTGTATCTGATCATCCTAACCATCTTCTCATCATTCTTCCACGTCTAGAATTTCCACCAGGGATTTTGCCAGGAATTGTTTCTCTGTTGCTAGTGAAGTGGAATGTATCTGCAGCTCATTGTCTTGGGCATGATGGACATTTTAAGAGAAGTGATCAAAGCAGAATCAAGCTAAACTACCTTAATTTACAGTAGCATTGATGCTTGTGTTATGGAAACAAATGTAATTACTTCATTTGTCTGTTGCTGTCTAATTCTCACTTTAACAGGTGCCAAAATAATCAACCTTCACATGATAGCTTGCTTTCTCTGGTTGGATTTACTAAAGGTAATAGAGACATCTGTACAAACTTGGAAGCAGAAGACTGAGTTCTATTCTTTGCTTTTCTTTCACTTGTTGCGTGCTTTTGGGAAAGTGGTATTACCCACATGCTTGGAGGCTTCATCCATAAGATCAATATCAAGCCTTTTTTTTACGATGCTCTGAGGTTATTTTAAGTTTCAGTAACAGAATATAGTTATTACCATATTAGACTAAAAATGTTCTGCTTTACCATTCCTTGTTATTACTATAGTTCCTCCATCAGTAGCAAACATTCTTGGTTTTCATCTCACTAAAAATATTCATATTTTATTTTGATCCTCATTACATTCAGTATGCATTAAATTTAGAATAAAGCATTTAACATGTATTTTAAAAATTGGAAAAGCTGTATTCTAAAATTTAAAAAAGGACAATTGTTTAGGTTGGTTTTGGGGGAGGGTTGTGGTTTGCTTGGTTTCTTTCTGTAACTAGTGTTGAATTTAAAGATTAACACAAAGATCTGCTGAGAAATTGCTTTTCGATTGGTATAATTGAGACTCCATGTACTGGAGTAAGAGTCAAGTCTTAATTGTTCACAGAATAGCTGTCCAAATAGTGTAAATTTGTGAAGGCAAGGCAGCCAAGGCCTGGTTGGTGCTCAGCCATAATTATATAATCTAAATTATAGAAAGCAAGGGATCCTCAGGTCCCTTGAAGAAAAACCTGCAAGAGCTTGTCTTAGGCTGGGAGTTCTGGATGAATTCCTGAAAAGCTTGAGCTATAAGCACAGTTCTGTGTAAGTAATTGAGTTATACAGTCAGTGAAAAAATGCTGCAAAAAAATATGGTATGAAGCCTCTTTGCTTCAGAGCAAGTCCAGTGAGTGCACAAGTATGACTGTGATTTCACATGCTTCTTTTTATTGTTGGACTTTAAATCAGCATTTGTATCAATGTAAAGAAAGATAAGAATAAAAGAAGATTAATTTCAATGTTTTGTTGCTTTTTTTTTATGTCACTGATTGCTATTTTGTAGTTGAATTGCATTTTAAATTTTACATTCAAAATGTTCAGGCTGAGACACAAACACTGCACTTCTATTCCAATGGAAATTTGTGGTATTTTTTTCATTATAGGTCTAAAATTCAGAATTTTTATTACACTAGACATTTTTACATTAGAAGCTCCCACTCTAAATTCTAATCTATTTTCTGTTTCAGAATAATGCCTATAGGAAAACTGTAAGGGTTTTATATTACTGCAATTTGTTCTCAGAAAGTCTCAAATCTTGTTTAAAAAATGCAAGAATTGTGATTATATAAACAAGTAAAGTCAGTGTCCTATACAAGGCCAAAGATAAGTAGGAATCCACCTAACTTACAGCTTTCCACATTATCTGTTGGGTGTAGAAATTTTGAAATCCTAACTGTTCTACAAAAAGAGCCCTTATATCTGGAAATTGCCCGTGTTTTTTGGCAGAACCTGAATGAGATCATTCTGTGAGGAGCTGGTCTCAATGAGTTTATGGGTCCCTCCAAATTGAGATATTCTATGGTTCTGTGCTATCAGCAATATGAAAATATTTGCCTTTAAGTGTAAAAAATGTTGTGGGCCTTCTTTTGAAATAATACAGTGTCATCTCACTGATTTAAGTATTGCACCAATTATTATAATAACTTTAAAAGGACTCATCTTCCACGCAGGAATGCAAAATGAAGAGAAATAACAAGTGTGCTGGCTCACTGCTGCAAGCCCACACAAAAGAAAACCTGGCCTGACAGTCAGGAGAGTGCTGGGCATTCATTACTTCTCTGGAAATAACAGATGCTTCACTGTCTGTTCATTTTAGAAAATAATCCATTCAGCTGATAAATCAAGGGCTGAAATGTATTTAGAATAGTGGTAACAAAATCAGTCCCCTGCCATGAGGTCACTCTTTGGTGAGTCACCATCGAGTCCCAGAGATGTCATCCTGCTTTTCCCAACAGGTAATTTTTGCAAACAGGAAAGGGGACCAGTGGAATTGTAATGATAAGAGTTGGTGTATATATTGAGGGTGTTTTTAACTTATTTTGGAAGCTACAAAAGTGTATTAACTATGGTCACTAACCAAGTAGCATTGTTCTAGAAGCACAAGTGATTCTTTTTTCAAGTGTTTTTTACTTCATTATTCCCCAATACCTGTGGCTCAAGATGATTCCTGAGAACAGCTGATTTCCTGCATTTCTGACATTCAAGCCAACTGAGAGCCACAAGCATGTGAGTTTATAAGCTGGCTCTTAGAGATTTAATACACAAAAAAGCCAAATATTTATAGATGCTAAGAACTTGGTCCTTCCGACACATCTCTGTAGCTATTGAAGGTATACAACATTATTTGTTTGTTAATTTAGGAGTTCTTCACACTATACTTCATATTTTAAGACCAGCCTCCATGTAGGATGTAATTTCATTCACTTGTTAGTTAACTAACAATTATTTTGCCTAGTATTATCAACTCTACTAAATGAGAGGAAAATAAGATGACAGATGATTAATTCATATGCTTCATGTCAGAAAGGAGACATTTCCAATGCAAGAAGCCAAGTCCAACACTGAGAGCACCCAGTCTGAACACTACATGATGCAGAAATCTGCAGCAAGTTTTTTACATGCAGTGCTTTAATTGTGTACAAAATTCTCTTGGAAGAAAATAATTTGGTGTGTCCTTGAAAAAGAACTGTCTCAAACAAGAGGTTCAGAGTATTGCTTACTTGGAAGGACCAGGCACATTTCAGACTAGTACACAATATTTTGGACAAGGATTCTTCAGGAGGATTTTCAATAAATATTGAAGTGCTTAGAAATGATTTCTTGCAGGATATAAAATAGACAATACTTGGTGTAAGATTGGGATGCACAGGAGGCTCGGGTAGTTTTTGTTCATTGATCTTGTCATTGGTAGCAGTTATTGAGCTTCTGTACCTGGTACAGAGCATAAGGTAAAGCACATCTTAGGACAGACTCATGAGAGACTTTCTTCAGTGAGATTTACAGAGATTCAGTTGCCCTTGATCCTGGGCATTGGAGTGCTTTTTCTAGCAGAAGCACAGGAGGCTGAGGCTCATCTTAAGTTTTGCAGTTCAAAAGTATGGCCAGAGCTTTCTTTGAGACCCAAGTCAGAATGATTCCACCAAGTAAGCAGAGTTCATTGTTCTGAAATCTAATTAGCTACATTACCAGTCCTGGCACAAAACTGGAATGATCCTCTTCCAGCCAGGGCTCCCCTTTCAACACATTGCCAATATAAGCATCCTAAATATCTCCTTTATGCTTTGTTGTCCTGCTGTTAACAGAAAAAGTGAGAAAATAATTTCTGATCATGATCTAAACCAGAGAGATAAAATAAAATTGCTTCAAATCATTATACATTCCATTGGACCCCTTTTCCTCCTTTTGTCTATTGTGTTTTGACCTACTAACAGACACTTTAAGAATACTTTTCAATAGGTACTTTGTGGAGTGGGCTACCAAGCTTTAATTATGTCAGAAGGAGACATCAAGGAAAAGAATCAAAAGAAATTGTCAGAGGTAAAAGGCTAGAAAAACAATGAATTTTAAATTGACAGATACAATTGACAGAGAGCTATGTCAGACCAGATTAAATATTCACAGGGCAGAAAAATTTCACAGTAGATGACAGAAATACATATACATCCTCATATATCCAGAGATACAGATACATCCACTTGCCATAGCTGCAGTAATTCAGCTATTTATTAGAGCTTGATAACAAAACTATGCCTCTGTTCTAAAATCTTCCTCTGCCATAGAAATAATTTATCCTCAACTTTCCATCTGTACATACAAGGACATCTTTTCATTGCATACAATTTCCCACCTGAAACTTGGGAAAAGTTAATCCCTTATCAACTGGCTGTCTATTAGTGGTCTCTTACCTTCTTAAATCTTAAAAAGAGATCTGGTTTACATCCTTTCTTCATTTAAATAATTAAAATTATGCTGAGTACATGTTAACTGCATTAATTATTCACATGATATTATTTTTAAGTCAGTTCTTTGAAATGCTTTGGTTTTCTGAAACTGTTTCGATGAATTTGTTCCCAATCTCTTAATGGCTCGACAAACACATTTACTGAGCATGCAGTAAACAACTAGAAATGGTGTCTTGCAATTCCCAGTATTCAATAAAACCAAGTGATTCATATAATCAGAGAGAGACTTGATATTGCAATTTTACTCAATGATATATTCCTGTTGACATCAGTATAGCTAAAAGCAGAATAGATTGGTAGTCTCTGAAGCTAGTAAGACTTTTACAAAAGAACAAGAATTGTCATTTTTTTAAACCAAACTGTTCCCTAAGTTGAAACTTGTAAAAAAATATGTTTTGACAAAATTCACAAAATAAATTTTTTAAGTTTTAAAATCATCAAAGCTTTTTATATTGGCATTTAGATTTTATTTCTTGGTTTGAAATTATTTTCATTTTTAATATTTTATTTATAAAGTTTGAAAACATGAATATGAGCTTTGAAATATTTATCATCAGTTGTATCCAGCTAAATGTTTCAGCTTAACCAAAGTGACAGTTTAGGGGTTCCTTTTGCTTGAAAATGTAAAATACTGTGCCTGGATATGGAAGAGATTTCAAATCTAAAATGCTTATATGCCAGAAAAACATTTCCCTACATATCTCTAGTGGTTAGTGGTCTCTCCAGGGGACAGGAAAATACCAGTAATAAAATAAGAAGTATTTTGAATACAGAAGTAATGACAAATCAGAATGAGTGATGTGACTCTAACTAAGGGTTAGAGAAGCTGATTTATAATTTAAACAGGGAATTCAGCAAGTTCTTTACTTACAAGGAATGGTTTGACTATTGTGCCCTTTTCCAAAGGATAGATAAACAATCTGTGGGTTTTGGATATTTTCCTTGCCAGCTGTTCTTTATTTATTATTGTCAGATTTTCTTGTGTGATAAAGAAAAATATAATGGTTCATCTTACAAATCAGATGAAAGCACAATTTATGATGAAACAAAAATGCCTTTAGGGCAATGGAGACATAAAAAACAGAGGACTGTTTTATATAATACACTAACAGCTTTCTTACTGCATCTTTCACTTAAGGAAGCTAAAACTACAGCTCCCTGAAGCTGCAATATCTGTAATTTTTGTCTGATGGGGAAGGGTTCCACAGAACTGCAATTACAGATCGGGCATTACCAAGTTTGTTCTCTACAAAATTGTGCTCCAGTCTTTTCTATTGTTCTAGAATATTATTATTTCCTTCTACTGCCACTGTTCCATCAACTAGTGCTTGGGGAAGAATCTGTCCCTGACTAGGTAGATGCTGTTAGTTCTGCTTGAGTGGGGGAAAAGAATTTCCTTCAGCAGAATCACCTTGAAAACTTTCACATCTGTGCTTACCTTCCAGAATACATGTCGGCTCACTCAAATCACAGTGATCCTTCAATTGTTCTTGTTTCCAGGAATAACTATAGAAGATCTTCTTGTTGAGCAGGTATTGTGCAGTGCTTTGAGATAAAACAACCCATCTTATCTCTTGGGCAGGTGGACTGATGGCTTGGGTCAGGTTTTCTAGGCTAAGGATGGAAAGTTACTTGGGGCTGCCTTCAGCTGCTGTGCAGGGACAGCTGGAAAAGGGCAGCCACTGTCACTAGGAAAGGCTCCTCTGATGTCTGTGCCAGGGTGCTGCAGAGTTGGCATAAAAGATGTTTTGTTATTTCTTTTCCTATATGGTGGGCATCACTGTGTTTGTGAGCTGCCTAGGTAGATGGATCAGCTGTGTAGCACCAGATCACAGACCAGCTTTGAGATGATGTTTGGTACAGTTCAGTGATTTTCTTCTGCTCTTTGCATGTCTCTGCTATGGAGCATTAATATGGTTAAGAATTAGCCCTCAAATCTGGTGATTTCAGTATCTCATCTGTCAAAAGGTTTGTAAACTCCTTTGTGTTTTGTCACTGATGCTTTTACTGCAGAATTTGTTAATTATCACAGAGAATACCTGATTTTTCTGCTTACTTGACACTTTCTGTGAATGAATCAGAAATAAGCTTGTTAAATTCCATCTGTCTCTATGAGTAGATGAGTATAGATTTATCTCTGCACATAATATATTTGGTTGATTCAATAATTAAAGGTAGCATAATTTTTTTTTGCTTCACCAAAGAGATGTCCAGTCTTCTGAAAATCCTGACTAACATCAGCAATTTCTTGAATGAGATGCTATTGTGTTTGAAAGGATAAAAGGAGTACCAATCAGCACAAAGAAATTGTGTCTGGTTTGCCACTGAAGTGTCTGACTAAAATCACTATAGGAACCCAAGTGAAACATCCCCAGCACCTGTCTAAGACAGCAGATGTGACTGTCAGGATAACTCATGTATTTGGCTTTGTTCTCCTTATAATGCCAAAAAAGGAGGCTTAAACCCCTGTCTATTGCTTCATTCAATTGCTCTATTTCAATGTAGCATGTTCCATTCCAAAACAGAGCTTTGGTTTCATGTAGGTCTGATTATTCCATTCTTTATGAGAAAAAGTTTCAAAATATCAAAAGCACCCTGTCTAATTTTAAACTTATATTTAGGCTTTAAAATGATTTCTTTTCCCTGTGGCATGTCAGAGGGGGAACATGGCTGCATACATTAGTGTTCAGGTTGCTTAAAGTTTAAATCAACAGGCCAAGAGTTAACACCATTAAAGGTGCAAACTGCAGGAGATCGAGTCTTAGATGATCAAGGCAATTGTTCTCTGTGCATCAATGTGCTCGTCTGTTAATATACACTGCTGTTTTCTCTGCAAAGCAGATAAGTGGCAAGGAAAAATAGTCTCATGCTATAGATTCAGAGCTGGTTTACAGTTTTCAGAACTTGCTGTAGGGACGACCTTTGTCAGATTAAAACAGTGCTGGAATTCATAAGGCAAAAAAAGTAATTTCTGATCTCTGCATGTTCTCTCCATAGTCTCAACAGTCAAATTCAACCCAGTGCAATTTGATTTGCAATTTTTCTGAGCAGGGAGTCATGAAGTACTTACAGTGTGAGCATATATGTATTAATCTACAACTGAGAATATTTACTTTTACTCCAGAACGTTGATTAAAAGGCCAAAGCATTTATTCTATAAACTGATTTAGTGCAACAAAGGATGGAATCTATGCCATGCCTAATTTAATAAGGAAAATGTATCTGCTAAATTCAGAGAAAGTAGTTATGTGCTTAAAATCATGTGGCTGTTAAAATATGTTGTTTTTCAAGGCTTGCATAGGTAATACTTACCTTAGTTGTCTTTAAATGGCCAAACTTGTAAGAACACCAATTCTGACAGCATCAGTCTGGAGTTATTCTTAGCACTCAGACATCTGCTCAGACTTCAGACTGCAGAAATTCTTCACTCACACTAAAATAATAACAATTGCAGCCTCATTGTTCCTTGACAGAAGCCCTTTGAAAATCTTGTCAGGAAGAACTCTTTTTATCTCAACAAACACATAATGCTCAGGTTCCCCTGCTCTTAACTCCAGAATGCTTTAAAAACAATCTAGTCTTGTCCAACTGCAGTATTATTGACAAATGAAAGCTTTTTTTTTTTGTGTCTTGTAATGCTTTTAAAAGCAGCACAAACAATATTTGTCCATATAGGACAAAACTTTCCCAACAGATCCTTGCCCTTATATCTCTTTAGACTTGTTCAACTTGTCTAATAGAAAATAGAAGATTGTTTCTATGTAAATCTAGAGTTCTGTTTGAAGTTAGACACACAAAATGGAAATAGAAAAGGCTTAAAACATTTTTCATAGCCTGGTTTGGTCTCATCCAGGCTTTAGATATAAAATAGAAACAAGCTTTCTAAGGATAAAATTTTAAGCCCTGCAGCACATGCTAACAGTGTGCTGGGGCATTGCATTAGCATCAAACGACAGAGAAAAGAGAAACAGTCTGTGGAGTAAAAAAAGACCTCTTCTTTTAGGAGTTGGATTCTCTGCCCCTGCACAGTATCAGATGGGCCTGATTTTCCTTCCTTTGTGATATCCTTAGCAACCATTGTCTTAGAGTGATCCATGTAAGAATGGATTAAATGACTGAATCAGGCATAGAGTTCACTTCTCTCACCATCAGAGGATGAAAATAGAGATATTCAGATATTCACTGCCACAAGCACCAATTTCCTGCACTCTTATGTTACAGTTCAAGTCAGAAGTAGCTAATAGAGCTTGGAACGTACTCATTAGTATCAATGTTCAGACTTGAACATTTCCATGCCCCTTTTGTCCCAAAGATTATTTGTCTGCAAACTGTCTTTTCATTTCCTTCTCATTTCTTTTATACTTGATTTCTCCTTTTACTCATGTTCTTCTATTATTTCTTCCTTTTATTCTCTCTTCCACCCTCTTTTTTTTTTTTTTTTCACTAAAACTTAAAAAAACTTGCTCTCAGCTTCTTTCAGGCAATTTGAGATTGTTTTGTGCCGTATAATCTCTGCCCTTCATGTTCTTCCTGCAAATCCTAAAGTCCCTGGAGCTCTTACTTCCATGGAGAACTCCACAGAATGAGTCCAGTCAGTATTCTTCTTTCCCCTCTTGTCCTGTGAGCCAGGCCATCCCATAATATTTGCCTTTGATTTCAACAAGAGCCTGTTTGGATGCTGAAGATCTCTAATGGCACTGAGGAGCTGGGAAAACTCCTCAACACGGTCAGGTCACTTAAGGCTTATTTGTACATGTGGACCCTGACAACAGTATGGACAAACATTGTTTGGGCTACTTGAAAGCATCAGAAAGCACAAAAAAGGCTTTTACTCGTCAATAATACTGCAGTTGGATAAGGCTAGATTCTTCTTAAGGCATTCTGAGGTTAACAGGATGGGAACATTGGGTTTCTGTTGAGATAAAAAGAGCTCTTCCTGACAAGATTTTCAAAGGGTTTCTGTCAAGGAACAATGAGGCTGCAAATGTTAGTGCTATTATTTTAGCATGAGCTAGGGACTTCTGAAATCTGAGCAGGTACCTGACTACTACAGTTGAAAAAGGCTCCATTAAGCATTTGTAACACTAAAGTAGTATTAAGCTATATAACATTATGCAAGAATTAAATATTTGAAAAATTATTTCCATAGAAAAAATATTTTGATTGTCTGATGTTTTTCTGTACATGTAGCAAAATTGGATAGTGTCATAAATTGAAAAATAAATTTAACATCAGTTTTATGAGGGGAGAGTAATTCTAAGACAGAATGCTAGTGGAACAAAGAAATAGCCATTTCATGTAGACTTTGGTCCTACAGATGTTCAAATGAATATTTAAATATCATCTGATAATCTTGGTGAAAAATGCAGAAATTCTTCTCATGGCTTCTGGAGAATTTTTATAAGGCCTTTGTCTTCATATTTCTTTCATTTAAGCTTTATAGATGTATATTAATGCTCTTGTAAACTTTCTATACAGCTGAAATTAGCTATGTTTGGTTGTGGTAATTGGAACATTCAAATTCTGCCTGGTCTGAAGGTATCTGTTTTGGCCTTCTTCCTGGCACATGCCTTAAGTCAATCATGCACTTTTTTCACTTGTTTATTTTATTCACTTTGCAATCAAAATATGACAACAGATTTGCAGATATCAGGGAGATTCCAACTAGGACATTCTCATTATTCTCATCTTTCTTCCTATACGAACTAACTTCCTTTAGTGTTACCAACAACTAATGATTGAATTGGGGAAGAAACAATTGCTGAAGATTTGCTCTTTCCTAGAAAACTCAAACCGAATTTGGTCAGAGAAAAATATAATATTCTTTTGAACATGTTAACTTGCTGGTTTCTACATTCTTAGATAGTGAATACAGATTCAACTAGTCATAATTCCCTTTCCCTATATCCTCTCTTTCGGAACGTGAAAAGACAAAGTCCAGCCTCAATGCTCAATTAAGCTGCAATTGGCATGCTGGGATTTTTGAAAGTCATAATTCATCTTTCTTCTTCAGGATGATTTTCCTTACAAGTTCTGTAACATGTGGCCTTATTTCTTCAACAGAGACAGTAGAGTCCCAGGCCTTTACTACTTTCCCATTGGGGTCCACCAGGTATTTCCAGAAGTTCCAGGTTGGTTCTTCTCCTGTAGAATCTACAGGGAAAAAAAAAAAAAAAAACAACCAAACTTAAATATTAGAAAACCACATTAGCCAATTTCTGTCATTTCTTCATGCCAATTTGATGATTAACCTTGCAGAGGATGAAGGAATGTAAAATTAAGAGGAAATTCAGACTGAATAAGATTAATTTTCTGACAGACAGCTTTAACTAGACAGTAGTCCCTTGGAGACTAATGGAAACAGGGAAGCTTGAGCATGGAGAAAGCGCAATAATCAGTGTTGAAGTGTGTGAGAGCATGTGTGTGTGGGGCTGTGCTTATAGAGATATACCTGATACAGCTGAACACTGATAGGAAAATGGAATTTGGCATGACAATATAGCTGTACCAGCAGTGATTACTTGCTTACCCAGAATTTTCCTCTCAAAAGCACCCAGTACCATGTAGTTCAGAAGATTGTTTCAAGAAATCCTACATGAAGAAATAACAAAGTAATTGTTCCAGGTTTCCACCTAATTCTTATCTACAGATGAGTATTACAGTTTTCCCTTTCCTGGGGAAAACAAAATTTCAAATAGACCAGGAACCTCATGCCCCTAAAAGCACAAATACAGATGCTACAGACCATTAGCATCTTTCTTTACACTGCTTATACATTGGGCAAACCTCATAAGGAATCAGAAGTTATTTCAATGTATCATCAAGACACAGCCGGACCCACACTTTTAACAATGTTGTCATTGTGCTGCATAGAGACACAGCCTCCAGCAGCCTCCCCCTGCAGGCAGGTGAGCAGGGAACCACAAGTTCTGCAAGGTTCCTGGGACATGTCTGCAGGAACAGCTCTCCTTGTCAAAACAGAGATGGAAGGATGTGAAGAGGATTACAGGGAAATTTGGCTAGCAGTATGATCCGTTACAGACACCTGGAAGGAGGTGAGCTTGGGGTAGTCAAAAATAATATCCACACTATGTTAAATTCAGTGGGATTTGGGAGAACACTGTGGCGCTGGAGAGAAGCAGCAGAGATATGGTCCTTGCAGAATGCAGCTCAAGTGATACTGTGTCACACTGGGCTTTACTATATTTCATTGCTGAAAGACATTTCCTTCACATTGGGTTAAGACTGACATTTTAACATAGCATTTAAATGGTATTTAGAGCATTTGTTCAGAGTAGGAAAAGCAGCGCCTTGATAGGGAGCATCCTGACTTTCTGGCTGGTAAGAACCAGCAAAACCTCTTCAGGTGTCGGTGCTGGCTCTAAAGCAGATTGGAACTGGAGCAACTGCACAGTTCCAGTGCTGTTCCAGTGCTTGGGGAGGAATGGGGAAGCGATATTCAAGGACATCGTCTAGAGCCTGGTTTCGCTTTTTGATTGTTGAAGTAAATTATGAAGTGCTTCACTTCCACTTATCCTACAGCTTTAGAGATGAATCTTATCAATCCAATCTGCAGCACTCATGTTACAGGAGGAGCACTTAGGAGCCTGCAAAGTGGAAAAAGGAAGGTCAGGGTGTTGTATGCCTAGAGGAGAGCATTTCAAGACCTGTATTCCATGTAGAGGTTTATTGGACCAGCTTTTACAGGGCATCTGCAATTGATGTGTCTTAATCTCTGGAGATCTTTTCAGAAGGTAAGACAAAGATGGCAGAGAGAAATCCTGCCTTGTGCAGGAAGAGAGACTACACGACTTCTGACCTCTTTGTGCCCGACAACTCTGTGAGCACAATCATGTCTTTTTTCTTTGGATGGTATTTTGTGTCAGAGGACTTCTATGCAACAGAAACAACCCTCCAGCATTCCAGGTTACTCACCAATTAAGTACTTGAAGGCAGGAATTGCACCAGCTCCACTGACTGTGATTTTGCTGAACATGGGGAAGGAGGCACCATAAGTCTTTCGTGCAAAGCTCTCAATTTCTTTGTTGGTGTCTGGCTCCTGCTGCCCAAACTGATTGCAGGGGAATGCCAGCACATTGAAATGGTATGGGCCCAGGTCTCTCTGCAGCTGCTGTAAGGCCTTGTAGTGGCTGTCTGTGTACCCACACTCACTTGCAACATTGACAACTAGAGACACCTGAAGTACAAGAAAGCACATTTTAAAATGTATTGCACATGTCAGGTTTTCCAACAGGTAAGCTGGAATGTGGATCAATTACAAAAAAAAAAAAAAAAAAAAAAAAAGGTGTCTAGGAAACTGTGAGTGAACACATATTTGAAACTACATTGAGTTCTGTTCACAAAAGGAAGACTTAATATTTCTTTTATGTATTCCTCTTTGGCAAGCATTAAGATAATCAACCAACTGCTAAGCAATCTTAATCTTCAGTTTACTGAGGATCTGTGTTTTTTCCATTCTGCCTTTTGGACAGTTTCTAAGCATAAATAAGAAGTGACTATCCAGATAAGATATACCAAGTTGCATGAAAGAAACTTGCAAATCAATGTATTTTTTGTTGTTTATTTATCTACTGTGAAGCATCTGCTCTGCAGCATGTTTCCTTGCTCAAAATTAAGAGCTCTTCCAGAAGTGTGATCCATTTATCATTGCTAATGTAGAGGTTTTGACATGGAAGTTATTAGAAGCAATTACAGCATTTGGGGTTGTTCTGCGCAGTGTGGGCTGTAAAATTTCCCATCACTTCTAGAGTAAATCTGCTCAATTGTGACAAAATGACAACAGTTATTGCATAAAGGTTCACTGCCTCAATTAGGGATTCCAAGAAGTGAAGGCTGCCCACTATCCCATGAAATCATTCCTGCAGTGGATTATGTTCAATGCTGTGTGCATAGCGTCAGTCAGATATGAGCACCAGGCACGTGTCTGCCAGCACAGATCCACCTGGGAGGAAGCTATCACAGACAGGTGAGCCCTACAGGAACAACAAAATTTGTTGGGAGTATTAAGTGACCTAACCCTGAATTAATATGCATTATAGTTTCTCAAAGCCTTGAAGAATCTTTCATTGGTTTTTGAGATAATTTTAGCCTTAAATAACTTTTAGAATTTTAGACTTACAGTTTTGCTATTCTCACAAATTTTGTGTGAGCTGCCACTCATTCTACATAAATTGAGTCCATTCTAATACTTTCATACAAAAGTATTTAAGGAAACAGGATGTGTGAAATAAATTATATTTAGTGAAAAAGAAATGGCTGCATGTACATAGTATTTTTAAAGGCAGAAAACGAACGGGCATATAAAGGTATATATCTGAGTAGTATATGGGATCATGAGAGGTGTAGAAGGGGTAGGAATAAGTGAAAAAAAAAAGCTAAGGGGGTGTTGGTATTTGTAATTTCTTACATTGAACATTAACACTTTATGTATTTTCTACTTTGTATAACTGTATGGCTATCATAGAATAGGTATCATAGAATCATAGAAAACCCTGACTTGGAAGGACCCACACGGATCATTGAAGTCCAGCTACTGAATTTAAAGTGGATTTGGAGTGGCACTGTTTTCCCCGGAAGACAGGTAATCTTTCAAAACACAAGTTGGTGTAATCTTCTTTGTGGTGCAGTGTGTCAACAGGATACAATCTAAACAACCCCTGTACCCTGGTATATGAATTATGACCTGCAGCCATCTCACCTCCAAATCATCATTTTCATTCAGACAAGCTCTGTCTGAAATTTTAAATTCAATCTCCTAAAACATCTGAAGTTATGGCATATCATTAGATTTTTTTTTCAGAGAAGAGGTAATAATTTTATGATGCATTCCTGTTGCAGACTCTCAGCATTTGAAACAGAAGTGATATGTTGGACATAAAAAATAAATATTAGAGTTCTGTTCTTTTCAAATAATCTGATTTATCCAGCATAGTGCTAACAGTAGTTTAGTATAAAGTAACAGTAAATTTTATCACTAAGAGCTGAAGTCACATGTAGTTCTTCCATGTGAAATTTTAGAAGCTTTTTAAACTATAGTTTAAGCCTTGGAATTTTCATGATGCAGAAGTATTCATACACCTTATTAAATTCACCTCTACTGGTACCTGCTCTCAAATAGAAGGGTAATGTAATAATTTGTAATTGGAAGTTTGCAGGAAATTAGGTTGTGTAGGCATTGTGCTTATATTAAAACAGAGATGAAGGATGAATTACCAGTTAAAACAATTAAGCTTTTATAACTTATACTTGATTTTAAGTAAAAAGAGGGCTTGAAAGAATTCTCTCAAAAAGACACAACTATTTTAATTTACAGCTGTTTAAAATCAGTGTTTTCTTGGCATGGTGGGGAAAGGTTTGAGAGCTCACAGTGACAACACAGCAAACTTCCAAACATATTCCCCAAAACAAATAAACTATGTTCAGCATTTCTTGGGATGGAAGACACATTATGCTTCTCTTTTTTCCTTAGAAAAATGCATTACCTGTAACTGAATTCTCCATTACTGAACTCCATAATTTAATAATGCAAACCTCTTAAAAGTGTAACTAACATATATAATGAAAACTTTTGTGATCTATTAGCATTTCTCAATGAATGTTTAAAATGATTCTTTAAAAATCTTTCCTGAGTTATCTTTCAGGTATCTGGTATTAGAAGTGATTTCATGTTGTGATCTTTTTTTGGTTGATATTTTATTTTTAATAAATAACAGACACTGTTTTTGCTCTCATGTAGAGGCTGTACTTTGACTTCTTACAACTATTAATGATTTAAATTAAGTTCAATATTCCTGACTTTAGGCTCTGAGAGTGCAAGTCAAGCACACCACCTAGTGTGCAGTGCAAACAGTTCAATGGACCTCACAAAAATTATTTCATTTCTGCTGAATTCTTTATCAGCTATTGTCTCACCTCTTAAAACTATCATTCCCTCTGCTTAGAAAACCCATGTATTCTAGTAATGAACTCATTTTGTTAACACTGCAAAAACTCATTTTGCTTTACTTAATGTTCACACCAGAGTGCCTCCTTAGGGAAAAATGCTGGGACAGATTTAGGAATCTGTCTCAGCTTCAAGTAACCATTTGTGGATCTGTCAGCAGTGACAACACATACTCGGGTTTTTAGATACAGAAATTCTTAACTGGCTCCATGTGACTATAGAAGAACAAGACACAAGTGTCAGATAGCACCAACTCACTGAGCTGTCACCTTCATGGAACAAATAGCAATATTTGTGTGGCAATCCAGTGGCTGTGCATTTACCCACACTCAGGAATGCCACATTCTCAGATTGAACGGGTCTGGGTCCAAAGTGCCTAACAGTACTTTCAACAATAATATTTAGTTAAAAATAATACTTCAATTGTTATAATGCCTAATGCTTTTCCATGATTATAGTACCTATGGTTCAAGATTTCCAAAGGCACTGCACTGACACTACTGAATTCCCCCACAGCACACTGTACTTAGCTGGGTGGTAGATTGGTACCACTACATCAAGATAGGCACAAACACAGCAGGGAACAGTTGATGTTTGGGAGGTCTGACTCCCAAATAGGTACTATTTTTGGTAAGAATACTGCATATCAGTATTACAGCAGTATCTGTGTGTGTATATATATAGATATAGATATAGATATAGATATATACTTCATATCAGTATCTTACAGCATATCAGATGCAGATCATATAATAAAAGATAAGATTATTGAATTAGATTCAATATAGAAAACTAATTTTGTTTGGATTCTCTTGATTCTTGTCCAATCATAATCACTGAACTTCATTTTTAATATAGATGAGTGATGGGTCAACATTTTATGGTAGTGTGGAAAAACCACAGAAGGATGACCTCCACAACACAGTGAACCAGACAGTTTTTTGATATAGTTCATTTGTGGAACTCTTTTCTCAGTGGTAATTGTCCTCCCTTTTTTTACTATATAACAGAGGGTAATTGTGGTTTGTATCAAGATGCACTCAAATAGAAAGAGAATTAATATCAATCAGTCTTTTTTTTCTTACTAGGAAAAAATTGTTTCAATGATTTGAATAGACACAAGTTTATATTAATAATGATTTATTGAAGAATCATCCTATCAGTCATGAATTGCTCTGGTTGTTTATACTAAGCATGGCTCTTGTGGTTTTAGAATTAGCAGACTATATTAATTTTTTAGAATCTGGAAGCCCTTGGATTTTTTCAATTCCTAGTAAGTTTCTTGACTACCAATTAAATAAATTTAAATAAAGTTAATTTAAATAAAGTTAAAGTTAAATAAAGGTAATTTAAGTTATTTAAATAAATTAGCTGAGTGACTGAATTGAAGAAAATGTCTTCTCTACATCTGCCAGAAAGCTTAAGGCTGGTAAAAGCTGGTTTAGCAATTAACAGACTATTGTTCCAGGAGATAACTAGTGACTCACTTTCCTTAAAACACCCCCAGCACACACGTAGTACTTTAATAATATTTTCTTTCTTTTAATAGCTTTAAAATATTATGATAAACCTATGCCTTAACATTACTTATCTAACTGCAGATTTAAGCAAGTTTATTTTAAGAAATAAATGGGAGTTTTAATTAACCTTTTTCTATCTTGATACTGAGTTCTGACAACATAATGACAGAAAGGGATGTGTTTTATTGCTGTAATTTTCTTTAAAATTGTCCACATACATTATCAAAGAGCTGGTAGCCTGAACATTAATAGGACCTCTGAATGCAAATCTGTCTTTTATTCCACACAGAAGCTGAGTGTCACTTTTAGGAATAAATTATTCTATGTGGTCTAGCAGAGATCAAAGAATACCATTCATCAATGGTGTTATCTTTCCCAGATACTGCTCTAGAGCTCCCCTTTATGAAACCATGCCTCGAGGGTGGCCTGGAACCACAGCACTGGGATATGGTACACACCCTGAGCCTGCCTGTTCATGAGATTCCAGAGGGGATGAACACCCCCAGCTCTCTGCAGAGTGGCTGTAAGGAATTCTTCCATGTTCCCCCTTAACTCCTTTCCACGTTGATTCTGGCCCTGAGATAGAGAAGCTCCAGGTGGTATTTGCTTATTCAGATTAGCAGATGATATGCAGACAAAACATGCCGCAGTAATAGGATTTATCTACAAGAGCCTTTGGAAGGAGCTCATTAAAAAAAGAACAAATATTGCTTAATATTAAACAGCTTCCATGTTTTTCTCCAACATAGATATTTGAGTGGGCATGGGACCAGTTCTGCTGTATCTCAGTTGTGAATGGAGGGGGATGAGGACTTTGACCAGATAGGATTTAGGCCTCTCATTCAATCCAAATCCATCATTTCTGCTGAGCTCAAGAAAATGTGAATCTCCCTATATAGCTTCTCTGTCTTCCTGCCAATGTTTTAGTGACCTGCTGCTGTAGACCAGTGAGCTCAGACACCTGAAGAGGGAAAAAAGGAAGGAGTAAATACAAAGCTGGAGAAAAAGGGTGAAAACGAGAAGCGATGCTGCCTTTTTGGGCAGCAGTGAAACTACTGAACTGCCTGAATGTATCACAGATGTGTCACTTGGGTGCTAAGAGTGGCACTTACGGGATTTATGTTGATTTTAGCTTCTATAATTTGTGAAAGGGGCTATAAGAGGTTACAGTATTAAGTAAAATAAGTATGCTAAGTTATCTTTTCACTTTTCCATAGGAACCGACAATCGTTTCTAGATGATCAAACCACTAATAAAATAAAATAAAATAAAATAAAATAAAATAAAATAAAATAAAATAAAATAAAATAAAATAAAATAAAATAAAATAAAATAAAATAAAATAAAATAAAATAAGATAAAATAAAATAAAATAAAATTAGATTATAGTCAGGGACATTGTTTTCAAATGGTATGGAAAACTCTGCTTAAAAGTACTTAATGTAAGATATAAATAGAATTTACATCATAAAAGCATATGTGATTTTATCTACATGCCCTTCTTCATATCACTGTCACACTAAAAAGCGAGAGAAGAATTTGCATGATGTTGTTATGATACTTTGTAATGTCTCATGTTTTTAGTAACTACGGTGAAATCTGTTAACTCCATTCGCCATGGATCAAATCCCTTTTTTTTTTTTTAAATGTTGACCATTAAAAAGGAACGGAATTTGAGTAAGAATAACACACAAGAAGTCATGCAGTTAAAAGGCAGAAATAAACTCCAAAAGTAAGCTACACAAAGACACAAACTTCCTGAGCTTCCAATGGAATAGACAACCGGCAGGAGGGCAGCATTCCCTGCCTGCCACGTCTACAGGCGCTGCAGCAGCAGAAGACGCGGACACACACTGGGGTTAGACTGCAAACGCTTTATTGAAGAGAAGCCTGTGTTAGCCAGACGAGTTCGCCGAAGGGCATTGTCAGAGTGAGCAGCCCAGAGGCACACGCGTGTGCACCGAGCCTCCGAGCACTCTCCCCCGCGCTCGCTCCGCGGACATGCAAGGGCTGCCCGGGCGGGAGCCGCCCCTCCGCGCCGCACTTACCGAGCCCCTGTACTTCTCCAGAGACACAAGCTTGCCCCTGATGTTTACAACTTTGAAAGTGTAAAAATCAGGCTCCTTCTGCCGCGTAGCGGAAAAGGCTAAGAGCAGGAGCGCTGCAATTGCGAGGAGCATGGCTAGAGGGATGAGGAGGACTTTGGGGAAGGAGGAGGCAGGCTGGTGCTCCACACTGCCCTCCGGGTCCAGCATGCTGCACGGCCGCCGCGCTCTGCCGGGCCGCGGCGGGGCCGCGCTGCCGCAAACGCGGCGCTGCTGCAAACGGGCCTTTTGCGGCAGCGGCGGCCCGGCCGGTCCGCGCCCGCCGGGACGGCTCCCCGGGGATGCTCCCGCTCTGAACCCAGCGTGCCGTGCTGGGACTGCGCCGGATAGCGGCTACGGGCTTAAAGCACCAGCTGGCTCAGCCTCTGGGATGCCAGTCGCAGAATCGCAGAATATTCTGGGTTGGAAGGCACCCACAAGGATCACTGAGCCCGACTCTTAAGTGAATAGCCCGCAGGGATCAAAACGATGTTATCAAGGATCCTGCTTTAACTATATCGCTGTGATTTTTGATCGATTTGCAAAGGCCCTTTTTTGGTGTACTAACTACAGCATGTAGTGATGTATGTACATGTCAAAGGACAGCAGTGGCTTGGTTGCTGCTGGTTACTGAGGCGAGTGCTCCGAACGAGAGTCGCAGCAAAACCAGAATCACCAACACGCCACATAAAACAGCCACATCAGCCAGGCCTGCAGGAAATGCAGCTCTGCCTGCACCTGGCTGGTGAGAAGTGAATGGCCAAACCACTGATCTCACTGTGTGAGATGGGAGAAACCACACTGCCAGAAGGTTTTCAAGCAAGAAAGAACCATAAAGCATCAGGAACTGGGTTTGGTATCAAAGCACTCAGACATTCAGAGCCAAAACACTGCCTCAGTGCACTGATGTCATTCTTGGGTTGTTTGCAAGAAAAAAAGAAAAAAGAAAAAAAAAAAGCTATTTGTACAATTTGTTACTATGCCCTCTGGAAGAAAAGGATTTGTACTTACAAAGTAACAACAATAGAAAGCTTTTAATGGGCATTGATTTCTTCTTGGACCAAGAAACTGGCCAGTCATGGACAGCTATGATTCTGATAGTTCTTGGCAAAGAAAAGGAAAATGCAGTGATTTACAGAAAACAAGAGTGGCTCCAAGGCATACTGGAAATTTTTCTTTTGAAGAGAGAATTACATTTTGTAATCTCACTTTGTTTTTGTTTTTGTTTTTTTTTTTTTTTAAACCTGAATTTTGGTAGATCTTTGACATTTAGATTAAATTTGCTTAGGTAATTCAAGCATGACTGGCATTACTGTAAGGGAAGAAGCCATATATAGCTAGTTGAAAAACATATTTGCAGATTTTAAGCATTTCAGGTTTTTCATATTTTTTGTGAATTTCAGTTTAAGCAGACATCCAATATCAAGAAATAATGTAATATGTTACAAAAATATATAGGTGGATAGATGGAAAAATCTTCTGCCAAGCTCTCTGCAGGAAAGATACATTGTGATGGGAATGTGAATTTCTTTGCAGATAAGTAGTATTTTCCTGAATACTTTCCTGGCTGTACTATTGACCAAGATGACAGTCAAGTATGATTTCCTCATTTTATAAGTAAATTATCTAAGAAGCTTTAGAGTTTCTTCAGACATATCTGGAGAAAGAGAACAGGGCTTTATTATGGTATATCAATTTTAAAAGATTTTTAAACTTAGTCAATTCTAAAAATAATCTTGTAAAAAATGATGATCAGCGTAAGTTTTATTTTGTCAGAAAATTAAAAACAAATCTACAATATACACATTTTTGAGGAATATTTTAGTTGCTTGGGTGTAGGACTAAAAATGAGGCATCATACTGCAACATAAGAAGCAAGTTTTGCTCTAGAAAGGGATTTTATAAAATCTGCTTCCTACAGTTTTATGATTATCATCTCCGATTTCTAGATAAAATTTACTAGCTTTCAGAGTAATATTTTATTCTACAAATTGAGCCCAGAATCTGAGAGTTTTTAATCACTGGCATTGAATTAGGAATTCTTTAAATAATGGCCCACTGGCAGTAGAAGTCTGCTTCTTCTTTTAGTGCTATGTTTCTATAATTCTCCCTGCAATAAAATATTCTTTAACATCAGCAAAGAAGGAGGCATTGTTCCTGAACACAGAGAAAGAGACTATGTCAAACACTGTTGGCTTTATACTGGCGTAAGTTTTCTGAGCCAAACTGCTCTACCAGTTCATATTAAAGTCTATCCAACTATTTGAAGGAAATATGCCAGTCAGGTTTGCAAACTGGCATGTGTTTGCTCACTAGCATGTCTCAATGTTGATCTAGGAGGACTGTATCCAGCAGCAAGTATAATCTAGCTACTTCTGCAATTTACTCTTTGGCCTACTAAACCTAATAGAAATCTTGGTCAAATAAATTGTAATAGGCTGGAACCACCACCCAGTTAACCTCAGTTGTCCTCAGGGCAGCACTGCTGTTTCTGTTGCTGCTGCCCTGGACTGGCCCACATACCTAAAGGTGAATCCCATGAGCAATACCCTGAGCTACCCAGTCCTAATTTTGTAGTGTGAACTTCAAGTGAACCAAAAAAAAAACCAAAACAAACCAAAACCAAACCCAAAAAACCTCAAAAAAACCAGGTTACCTCTAAGGATTGTGCTGACTTCACAATACATTCAGGAATATGTCTTGTCAGTATTTGCAGAATCCTGTATTACAGATTTTGCAACTTTTGTTTGCCTACACAGACTCCCTGAGGTAGTGTTTCCAGCACTATTATTCATATTACTTTTAACAGTTTCCTTTGAACCCCTTTCATAGTTCAACACTGATGTTTTAGTGCCTTATTTTCCTAGAAAGGCCTCCTTAGCCTGGGCTAAGAAGTGCCAGCAACACATTTCACTGCCAAAAAGGGGTAGTACTGGATCACAGAGGGATTTGCCTCAGACAAGCACTTGCCAGTGCCTTTAGGTCACCGTCCAGCACTGCCAAGAGCCGGCAGGCTGGCTCTTCTCCCCCGAGACCTGCGGGTCTGCCAGCAGGCACGCTGGCCAAGCCACTGTCCCTGGCTGCTGCCGGGGCCAGCTTCATAGCCAAGGTCAGGGAGCCTGGAGTCATTTCCCCAGATCGCCGGAGCACAGCTTCTCCCCCGAGCACAGGAGGAGGGCGAGAAGCCCCGGGGAGGCGGGGATCGATGCCCGGGCTCCAGCGAGCCCTGACCCGCTGCACAGGGCCTGGGCAGCGGCTGCCTCACCGCTCTCCTGACAGGACGTGTTGTGAGGAGGGGCCGGTCCCTTCTGCCGTGCCGGCATGGAGAGGACCAGAGGAAATGGTTCTACGCTGAGACACGGGAGATTCAGATTAGATACTAAGAAAAAAATTGTTCCCCGTTAGGGTGGTCGGGCATTGAATCGGTTGCCCTGTGGTGTCACCATCCGTGGCAGTGCTCAGGGGGCGCCTGGAGCTGGCGCTGGGTGCTGTGGTTTTTGTGGCTGTGGGGACACAGTGGCAGTGCGGGGTGTACGGTTGGACTGGAGGATCTTAAAGGTCTCTTCCAGTCTTGCTGATTCTATGCGTAAGAAGAGGCCTGGGAAGAGAAACAAGGGGGAAAACTAGGATGGCTGTGGGGGGGGGTTAATTAAGAAAAAAAAAAATGCTGCTTATTCCCTCATCCCCGCTTGCCGCTGTGGCACTGGGGAAAGGAGGCCCTGAACGCTGGGGGAGACGGGGATGGGGGCGCGTCGCCCCTCAACAAGGGGGAGGTTTTGAGGCACGGGGGCGCTCCCCGGCAGGGCCGGGGCGCTGCGGGCACTGTGCCCGGCTCGGTCCCGGCTCGGTCCCGGCTCGGTCCCGGCCGCCGCCGCCGCCCCGCAGCGCCGCCGCCCTCGGGGCGCTCCCGCCCGCCTTCGCCCCACAATGCACCGCGCCGCTGACATGGCGGCCGGGCCGGACTGAGCCGCTGCCGTCGGGGCCTGCAGCAGCCGCAGCCGGGCATGGCGGGGGCGCCGCGCCGGCTCCGCTAGCGCCGCACACAGGTACCGGGGCCGGGGGCTCCCCGCGGCCGGGGGCGGCGGCCCGAGGGGAGGCGGGCTCGGGGGGTCCTGTCCGCGCCGGCGCCCCCCGCCCCAGCCCTGCCCCGCCTCGACGGCCCGCCGCGGCCTCGGGCCCCGCGCCGGGCGGGGGAAAGCGCCGGGGGCCGCGGCGCGGGGGCCGCCCCAAGGTCAGCGGGGGACCGGGCGGCCCCCGGGGGCGCATCCGGGCCGGAGCTGGTGCTTGCGGTTTGTTGTTGGTACGCCCCGTGGAATTAAATAATGCGGGGGGAGAGACCACCGCGGTCGGCGAGGCCCGCGGGGAAATGCCCCGTGTGCGGGGCTGCCCTCGAGAGCCGTGCCCGCTCCGCCGTGAGAGGTTCTCCTTTCCGTGGATTACAGTCTGCCTGGAGTGACACCCAGGCATCCCATCGCCTACGTGGTTGTGCTCTTTTGTTGGTTTATTTTGTATACAAATACAGCTGAACGACTTTGCTGCTTTTGCAATATGTTGCAATTTGCCAGTTGGCTGGATGTGTCGTATTACCTGAGGCCTCCTGGCTTTTAAGGTTGTTTCTGGGTATGTCAAAGGAGGATGAGCTCGTAAAACACAGAGAAACAATACAATCGCATTTAAGCTAAGGTAGAGATTAGTACATTAAAACGATAGTTATATCTAAGTATGGATCTAATAATTTTTTTTTTTTATATCCATGCCACCTCCATGTCACTTGGCTTCCTGAGCACTGTGCCCTGGATTCAGGGGTTGTTACATTTGCTTGAAAATAGAGGATACATACTGTTTTTGGTTTTGACTTGTGTTCCTGGTTTCAGTGGTTGCTTTTTGGATAGTCTGACCCCAGATAGTTATGACATAATTATTTCCGTGACAAGAAAAGTAAGCCAGCCATGGAACTATGACTTAATTACAGTACCTGGCAGAAGATGCTATATTAGGAGTAAGAGGTCTCTTTTACAAATACCAATTTTGCAATGAGCTTTTTTTAGCCATTTTTCTACTTAACTTTAGTAAAAACCTTCATAAAATTAATTTTGTGATAAAATTACCTTTTCCCAGAACATATATTGGGATATGTTCCCAGAAGATACAGAGGGATCAGAAAGTTCCTCCTGTGTTCTGTTCTTGCACAGAGGACAGCTGGGACTTCCTTCTCATC